ACATTCGTTCTCGTTTGGCCCTCAGGACCACTTGACCCACTGGATGCTTGCTGCCCAAGAGATGATGATAATGATGGCTGTGCTTTTGGGTTGTTTCGAAGAGTGTCCGTTGCCTCTCCTTGTACGTTGTTGTGACCACTTAATGGTTCCTTTTCTTTTTGAAGTTCTGGACCATGCTGTTCAGATACATGCGGATCACTATCCCTTCTCTGCTCGCCAGTGCCGGGACCAGGAGGATTAACTGAAGCGAGATTTTCAGTGGCAGGTTGACCCCTCTCTTCAGGCTCATGTCGAGCTGCAGGAGGTCCAGCTGGTAAAGGAGGTTCAGGTAAAGCAGAAATACAAGCACTTTCTTTTTTTTCATGGCCACCACAAGTACTACTATCAACAGCAGGTTCAGAACGTAGCCTTTGTGCAGCAGTGGCATCTTCAGCCGCCGCACAGACACATGCCACGCTAAGAAGCAAAGCCACAAGATAGAACAGACGGTGTAGCAGCATCAGAAAAGGAGTCGTCTTTCTCGTTTTAAAAAAACTTAACTAAAAAGAGAAAAAAAGAAGCAAAAAAACGAAATATATATGATACAAAACAAACACAAAGAAAAATAAATACATAAACTCTCACACAAAAGAACGCCACCAGCATGAAAAAAAGGTTTAAATAACGGGTCTCCTCTCACAACGTCCAACCAAAATCAAACAAAAACACAACAAAGTAAAAGCAAAACTAACGACAATATCACACAAAGAACAATATGTCTGCTTACATTAATGCGTAATTATAAATAAAAACATACTGCTGTATTACTATTCTTTATCTCTGGACAAAGACCATCATCATACGAATGCAGGACAAACACACACAACCCACCAAACAAACAAGCAAAGAAAAAGATATTAACAATTAGCCCAACATACTCAGTAAACACAGAAATATACACCAACTATGGGTGTAAGTCTATATGTGTATATACGCAATGATAAATATAAATTTATCACTCATTATTATTGCCTTTTCCCACTACAAAAAGCAGTTCATAATAATTATCAAAGTGCAAGCCCATGCACACACAAAGAGAGTCTCCAACAACACACACACAATGGAGTAGTAATAATAATAATTATAGGATAAACACACAGAGAGCAAAAACACAATAACATTAAGAAACAAAAAAAGAAAAAGAAATTACCAAAAGGTAGAAGATTAGTTAGACTGTAGGGATGTATGCAAAAAAAGAAAAGAAAACAAAGGATGACCTGAGTCACACCACCACTACCATTACAATCAGCACACAAGAATACAGGCCAGTGTAACCACAATCAGTAGTGGTAC